TTTTATTTTATTGTAAATTGTACAATAAAAGACAAATATCTTTCATATTTTATTTCTTAAGAAACATTTTAATAATTAAGAACTTAAGTCCATACCTTAGAAAGCTCACCCACATCCTTATTTTTCAAATCCAAAAACATCTCTTAGTCTCTTACTTTAATTGAAAATAAATTATTACTTATAGTTAAGTCACTTTCGCCTTACTATTATATGGAATTTTAGTAATTCATTGTACTTCTCAAAAATTTAAACTTCTATTTTGGTAAAAAAAAAAAAAAAGTGCATTAATTAGTTAGTGAGGAGTGACTTCGACCATTTTATATCATTGTTTCCTCCAATATTACAAACACAAAGTCAAGCCAACTTGCTTATGCTAGCATGCATGTGTGAATATTGCATTTTCAAACAAGCGTGGGAGCATGCGGACAAGTGACGTTCGATCACAGGAGAGTGTTGTTAAATGAAGCACTTCATATATTTTTAACAAATAGTTCTAATATAGAAAAAATAAAAAATAAAAAATAAAAAAACCAATGCAAACGATGCATTTTTTTATGTGAATAATGCATACTCCTTTAAGGAAAAAACAAATCAATTAAAGGTAAAGCACCGTCATTTTATTCTTGTTCACAAAATTAAATTAAGCATATATGCGAGCATATAAATAAACTATAAATAAGGTATTAAAGGAGAATACGCATGCAACTCTCACACTTTGAATTATTTTACAATTGACCTAAGCATGCATGATTTGGAGCTAATTAACCACCACATATATATAGTTTGAAAAATATGTACTTAACATCTCAAATCATAAAAATATATTCTTGATCCCTTATAGTTTGAAAAATATACAGTTAGCCCAAATAAACATTTCATTTCAACTTTTTTGTTTTTCTTGATTTGCAAAATTACATGAAACTCATTTACTAATTAATACCCAAATAAAACATCATATTAGAGTACTTCAAAAGGAAATCAAATTTAAGTAACAAAAATAAAATTATTAAAAAGAAATCAAATTTCACTTCAATTCTGGCATTTAGCTAATCTAACACTAGTGTTACTTCTATTGAGTCTTCTTAGAGTTCCATCTTCTCCTCAAAGCTTTCCTTGTCCAAATTCCAATCTTAATCACCCGATACATGAGCCAATATGGGTTTATAGGTATAGACCACGTAGTTAATTAGTTATTACCTAATTGAGTTAAGAATAATTTATTAGATGTGTTTTAGATTCATAGATTATAAATGTTTGTATTGAAGGTTACAAAATATATTAATTTTTAACTTTCTTTTGAAATTATTAAATTTAATTTTTTTTAAAAAAATTTTAAAGAGTGGTAGTTTTGCCTAACCCAATCTGACACTCACATGGCTATATTAATAGATCATAAATCCACTTCTCTAATTTAAAATATAAAATGATCCAACCCAATAGGCCTAGGGATCCGAGACCGAAAGGTGATCCAACCCAACAAGCCCAACTATTTGCCTGCTCTGAGTGCGCTTAATGTCCTAATCAACCATTGCCCTCGGGCCCCAAATCTTACGTGATGCTGTTTGTTGGGCTTTAAAACCACTCTCTACCCATATCATTTTGAACATGGAAGATTGACAATAAAACCCATATACCCAACTTCAAGCTTCTTCTGTAATTGGGCCCAGAAAAGCATTAAAAAAAAAAAAAAAACCTCATCGTCTAACTTCTAAAATTAAAAAAAGAAGAAGAAGAATGATTTATATATTTAAAAAAAAATGGAAAATTCAAACCTAAAATCCTTTGGTCATGTTTACTAAATTTAAGGATGGCAACGGATCTTCACGGGGGCGAGGACCCCTTCCCCATCCCCATCCCCATCTCCACCAATGGCGGGTACAAGATCCCCACGGGGATTTTTGGCGGAGGTTCAAAAATAGCCTCCGTCCTCATATCTGCGGGAAATGATAGGTCCCTGTGGGTATTCGAAGTCTCCATCAAATAAAACTATCATCTCCTCCACTATTTGTTAATCAAAACTAAACTCAACATGAGTCTACTTAGACTCCATTTGTGGAAACTAATGAGTTTCCACATTCATTAAATAAAACTAGTTCAAATAATCGTATAAAGTAAAAATTTGAAACAAAATAAACAAGTAGTAAATATACATAGCTAATATATACATGTCAAGCAGGTCCAGCAAGTTAGCAACAAGTTCATAAAGAAAAAAGGCATAAACTGCCATATAAGCCCAACAAATCCAGTAAAAGATTCATAAAAAAGAAAAGACATAAACTGCAACTGTCATCAGCAAAGTTCATAGAAAAAAATACATAAATTGTTGCTACACATGTCCAGCAATAAGTTCATTAAGAAAAACGACATAAAAGAGATGAGTTACTAGTGACTGGTTGAGAGATTGGAGAAGAGCTATCGAGTTGAGTGTGAGTGAGAGATGGGAGAAGATCAACATTGCAGTGGTTGCACAATGGGTAGTGACGGTGACAGCTTGAAGAGAATCACAGATGAGGATTGAGGAGCAGAAACAAAGTTATAACGTAGAGCCACAGAAGAGACCGAAGAAGAGGAATCACAAATTTGAAATTGAAATCTTTGGATAGTCCTTCTAGGGTTACCAATGCAAATTGG